ACGTAAATTTTGTAATGAAGCAAAAATAGTCATTTGATTAGATTCTGTAATTTCGTTCCTGACATCATCTCTACTTGAATAACTTAAAATGTTTGGAAAAGTAGAATTACTGGGAAGGTAAGGAAGCAGTTTCCGGCTTTGTTTATCCCACATTAATAACAGTTAAATTGCCTGGTTTCTTCCAGAAAAAGCTTTTTTATTTTTTTCTCTACAAGTCAGAGTTTGTGGAAATCATCTCACAGATACACTTTACTACTCCAATTTAAGCCCAGTTTGAAAAAAAATTCAATGCTTTTTGACAGCAATTGTTGTATACCATTCATTCATTAGAAAGAACAATAGGATAGTGATAAAAGGTCCTTATATTTTCGCCCATTGTTAAAAATCGCAGTAGCTAGTATTTTCTCATATACAAGAATTTATATTTATTTCCTTGGATGGGCTTCTTCATCCAGCGAAAAACAATTTTAAAAGTCACTGAACTGAAGAAAACAAAAGACAATCCATTTGGTTATGTGGATCCAACTCCTCACTCCAATGCCTATTCAAGACAGCACCTAACCAAACTTTCTTTTTCAGATTTTGTGTTTCTGGATTATTCCTATCTTATTTTTTTGTAAACCTCTTTAAGCCATCACTTCATACCTGCAGTTAGAAAAGCACTCACTATTCACTTTCTCTGATTTCCCATTTTACTGGATTTTTTTTAGATGGACCACAATCTCATGGAAAAATTCCATGCTTTGGTAGATTCTGCAGAGGGTCGGCAGGCAGTCTGTCCAGGGCACTGTCCGTTTGTCACCCAACACAAATAGAGAATCCTATTACCTACAAAAGTATTAGGAAAGTGCTCCCAGCTGAAAGCATTTATCCAATTCCAATCGTTGTTTGAAAGTCTAAAATACTAAAGACGGTATTTTTCCAGGAGCTACTGTTTAAAACAATGCGATGCCTGTTCAGAGTGAAAAATCAGTATTTGAAAATCTGAGTTGGTTTAAAAAATAATAACTATGCATTCAAAAGAGAATTCCTAAAGAAGCATTTATATGCCAGGCACATGTTTTTAATTTTAATAGCATTGGCTTACCTAAATAAATATGTAGAACCTAATAATTGTTCTCTATATGTTGAAATTTTTAATATTATTCTATTTTAGTGAGTTTGCAAAGAGGCTAATGAATAATAATGTAGAAAAATATATATCTGTCAGTATAAAGTTGCTATGGTTTATGAGCATTGCAAAATGCTGTGTTGAAAAAAAGCCTTTTGAGAAGTAATTGAAAACTGCTCTGATTTTAAAAGAAATGAATGTAGCCATATCCTTATGGGATAATGTCAGATAAAAAGTAATTGTGCTCCCTCTACAATTGTGTTTGTTGGCATTTATATGAGAATAATAATGTTTTTAGGTCATTTTTATAGTTGTTCACTTAATGTGGGATTAGCATCAAAATCTTCATAATTATTTGAGAGCATCCATTTGAAAGTGGCATGGCAAAACATGTTAATCATTAAGATACTACAGCAGTTTTAATACTAAACAGATTAACACACATGAAAGTAATATTATAATTTGTGCATTGAGTAATGTGCCAGACCAATCTTTTTGATGAAAATAGAATTCTTATGAAATAGTACCCTTTCTAGCTACTGCTTCCTATTTCTTGAAATACTAAAGCAATCAGTTAGCTAGAAAACTGAGAGATATACATGAGTACACATGGCTCTATGGACTTAAGATATTGTTATTCTGTGGCTCTGTCATTGCACAAATTTATGAAACTATCATTTTTGAGGTTTGCTTTAAATAAGACTGAGAACCAACATATCACAGGAGGGTGATACAGAATAGTAAAGATACAATCCAGGTGGGATTATAAACCAAAACCTTTTAAAGAGTAAAGGGACTGCTTATTGGCCACAATGGCTATGAATTTATTTTATGACCACCAGCAAACAAGTGTAGGTCCATACCTTGCACATTTTTAAACAAGAAAGAAGTACATTTTAATATATACTCCAGAGTCTCGTAAAAATATTTCTCTGCCTCAACTTCCCATCTCCTTCAGAAGTCCACATGAAAGGAAAATGGGTATTCATTTAGAAAGTAATGAGACTTCATCAAATAATTACCCAAGCCATGCCCATCTTTCTTGGATCTATGTGAAAAAAAAAATAGGCTTCCCGTCCAAGGCCTGAGTATTTGATAATCCTTGTTGCATATTGTACGGGGCAAGGTAGGGTGTGAAACCTAAGAAACTTAAATTGAATGTAACAAAGGCAGGTGCCTCTCCCCAGAGACAAAGTGCGTGTGTTAAGACAGTATCTGTGTAACTTCAGCTGTTCCTGAAGGGGGGGGGGGCGTATTAGGGATTTAAATCATGTTGTTTCCACTTATGCAGAGAGAATCCATAAAAAGAGATTTATTATCATATTTTCTTTTTGAAACGTAGTATTTGTTTTTTTTACTCTAAAAGTGCTCCTCAACATAGAGCAGAGTAAATATTACAATTTTGTTCAACGGCGGCTAAGATTTAATTGTCTGTGAAATACAAGGCTTAAACCCCCTTGCGTTAACTACTGTGCTGCTGGTGCACGCTGGGCCGGACTGACGCCGCAGAGGGTCCCCAGGCCGTAGGGGCAGGTGGGCCGGCAGGACTGACGCCGCAGAGGGTCCCCAGGCCGTAAGGGCAGGTGGGCCGGCAGGACTGACGCCGCAGAGGGTCCCCAGGCCGTAGGGGCAGGTGGGCCGGCAGGACTGACGCCGCAGAGGGTCCCCAGGCCGTAGGGGCAGGTGGGCGGGGCAGCCGCGGGCCTGCAGGAGCCCGCACAGGCTCGTAGCCTTACCCTTCCTGCGGCGGATGTAAAGGGACTTTGCGCAAAAAGTCAAACAAGAATAAACAGCTACGGAAAATGTAACCAATCACGCTAGCAGTGTCGCAGTGTCGCAGTGTCGCAGCGAGGGAGCAGGGGCCCGGTTAGCCGCCGGTGGACACTGAAGAAAAATGTAACGGAGATGGAAGAAAGCGGACGGCTGGGGGGGAGGGGTATGCAGGCAGGAGGAGGAAGGTACACACGCCGGTTTCCATGTGTGCATCTTGCCATGTATTCTTGTATGTACCTGGTAAGTACCTGGGAGCCAGAAAGTCTGCCCCCTGTCACACGGCCTTGCGTGGGTCGCACCGCTCCTCCTCCCCGCCCCTGCGCCGGCCCCCTCAGGTGCCCTCCGATCCCCTCCCCCTCCGGCCCCCTCCCTCGCTGGCCCCTCCCCTTCGGTCCCCTCCCCTCCTCCTCCCTCTGGCCCCCTCCCCCCGGGCCGGCCCCTCCCCCTCCCTCCAGCCCCCTCCCCCCGGCGACGGCGGCCCCCTCCCCCTCCCCGCCCTCCCCCCGCGGCCCGCGGGTCGCGGCCCAGGCCGCCCGAGCGCCCGCGGGAGGCGGCTGCGGAGCCGAGCCGAGTCGCCGGGTGGCCGCGCGGCCAGGCCAGCCCCTAATTGCAAAGCAAACACGGCTGGAATATCGGACCGGCCTCGGGCGGGACGAGACCGCGCTCTCGCCGCCGTGTTTGCGCAGCTCTATTTAAAGGCACTCGATTGAGGAAACGTCGGAAATAGCGGCGAGGGTCCCCTACTGGGACTCGGGAGGGAGGCGCGGCGGGCCGTTAACCCCTTCCCGCCCGCCCTGCGCGGACAGTGCCCGCGGAGCCGGGGTCACCGCGCGGGCCCTCTCCGGGCCGGCCTCCCGGCGCCGGACCGGCGGAGCTGCGGGCAGCAAACCGGGGTTCCAGGGCGTGGGAGGGCGGCCAGCAGCCGTCGCCGCGGCTGGAAGCCGGCGGCCTAGCCGGGGCCCGGGCCGCGGCGTCCCGCGATGTCCGCAGGGCGGCGGGGCGGGGCGGGCACACCTGGCCGGGCAGGGCCCCGGGCGGCGGGAAGGGAGGGGAAGGAACGGAGGGGCGGGGAGGGACAACACGTGAACACTGCCTGCGCGCAGCCGCGTCTGGCGTCCCGCCGTTGCGCGCGTTGGTCTCGTCTGTGCGCCCCGCTGGGTCCTTGTCCCACTGCTCAGATGGGGAGGTTGAGGCTCGAGGGCACCGAGCAGCTCGCCCGGTATCCCTCGGCCGGCCGGCGGGAAGCCCAGGGTGGCCCTGCGCCGCCCCGCCTGCAGAGCTCGGGGCGCCGGGAGTGGGTGCCCGGGCAGGCCGGGCCGGACCTCCCACGCTCACGTCCGCCTCCGGCCCAGGCGCCCCAAGCAGGCCCGACGGGTCCGGACGACGGCGTGGGCATGGAGGGCCGCCCCTGGTAAACGACTTTCAACTCCTCCGCCAGCTGAAATCGGTTTCAACATAAAGGAAAACAACCGGATTGCAACTGGGGCACGCACCCGAATTCTCTAAGTCGTCCCTTTACCCGGGCTGCTTAACCACCTTCCCGGTGCAATGCACGGATCGGGCTGCCAAGGAGCCTACAGTCGCAGGAGGTGGCACACGGGTGCCCAGAGATCTGTCACAAAGAACGTAAGCGGGAGCAGCGGAGGGGGCAAGAGAAAGAGGAGAAGCAGTATCTGGAAAGGCTTCCTGGAGGAAGTGGCATTTAGGCTGAGCCTAGACGAAACAAAGAAATGTGGATTCCCCAACGTGAGAGAGAGATGGGGTGTTTGCCAGCGACACTAGTGAGGCAAGGGGTGCCAGACCCACAGTTGGGGACAAAACGGGGAGTCACACTTTCAACACCTGCTGCCATCTCCTGGCTGCCCCTCTCATCTGGAGACTGTGGGTTGATCACATACTCAGCCAAAGTCCATTCCCTCTCAGGACTGAACACTTGGGGCTTGAGAGCGGACAGCAGCAGGTAGACTTGGACCCTTCAGGAGCCCTGGACTTAGGCCAAAGGGAGCTGTCAAGGGCAGAGACAGGAAAATGGCACTAGAGGTGCTCTCACCAGAGACCCTAACTTGTAGAGCCATGCATTGTCACTTTTACCGCAGGGATCTGGTCTAGGGCGTACCTTGGTCAATCTGAAGTTGGTCTTTCTGGAGTCACAGGCAGATGCAGACTGGGAGAGGAAGACCCCCAGGGAGTGGGGAGGACTGGTTTCGGTGGTACTTCCCCATGAATGATTTGCACCTTCTGTCAGCAAAACAAAGAACCATCAGTCACTCCAATTTAGTGAAGTCTCCAAACGTGTTCTGAAAGAAGTTCTGCTTTTTTGTACACAACCAATGGCTCCGTTTGAAGTTGGATGCTTTGCAAGCAGAATGCAATTCCATTTTTTGTTCCTCGAGGTTTGGGCCTGTGTTAACTGAAGTGGGCACTCACACAGTATTCAAAAGAAAACCATTCTCTTCTGAAAAATGGAACAAAATAGCACCTCCCCAATCACAGTGCGGATATATAATCTGTAACAACAAAGTAGCCCTCCACGCTGCGCATTTCCAGCAAGCGTCCTGCCTTCTCTGTTTATAGCTTTTCTGTCTGCAATTATTTTTATTTTAATTTTCTGTCACTTTAACAGAAACCAGAGCCTTTTCTTTTAATGTTTTGTACACAACATGTTCATTTTGATAAGATGTTCTTTCCTATCCTCTTTTAGCTTGCCTTGCCTTGTTTAGAGTTCTGTATCAGGAGTTTCTAATATTTCCCCCTCTCCCTTTTTTTTTAGAACTTGTCCCTGTCTTGCTTTATTTGTTTGTGTGAAATTTAGTTTGAAAGGAGATCAGAGAGAGCAGGAGGGGGTTGTAATAAGAGAATGACCGAATGACCCAAAGGCTGATTATCTATCATTAACTGGAGACTCGGTGTACCCAAATTACCAGAGAGACCTCAGTCTGCCGGATCCTTACCCAGCCAGAAAGGCAAGAGTGGAATGCACACGCTGAATTCAGCAGGCTCGTGGCATTGCAAATGAGGACACAGCTCAGACAACATTTTAAGGAGTTTTCCTCTAAAACTCAATTCAAGTTCAGTAGAGAAATTTATTAGATTCTGTTATATTGTACACAGGTAAAACAAAATCTCTGCCCACAGACTACCTTCAACATTTCTGTAACTTTTTTTGTGTTGTTTCGTTAGAAGCAAAATTGCAGTTAATTGTCTAAGCTCCAGAGAATATTGAGAAATCAAGCCAAGCTGCTTTTGATCTGCTCATGCTGCTAAACTCAAGCCTTGTAAAAACTGAGGTTTGCCATTAATATTGACAATAAAAGTGTTTCTTTTTGTTAACCTGAAATCTAACCATCCTGGCTCAAGTCCCTTGTATATAAGCAAAGACCCTAGAAGAATGTAGAAAAGGTTTGGAAGAAACTGTCAGAGCCAAAGAAATCCATCTACATAAATTTGCAGAGGAAGTGACAGAACAGAACTTTCCAGGAATGCAAGCGACACTGAAGTTAGAACTACAAATGAACATGTCTGGGCCTCCATTCACAAGCAAATCTTTCAGCCACATACATGGTTTCTTCAAAGTCCCACATTTTAAATTTCTATTTGCATTCATGTTTTGTTCTGAACCCCAAACTACACTGCAGGCTAGTGAAGTCCATTACTTACTATTTCCATAGAACATGTATCCAAAATCATACTCATTTCCTTATCTAAATGCTGAATGATCAAGTTCCCGGCTTGGAAGAAAATATTGCTAGTGTGTATGTAATTTGCTTAAAACAATAATGCGAATGACTATTTAACATAAATCCTGTGGGATGTATTTTCTTACACTAGTTTTGCTCTAAACTCTCTATTTTACTACAAGGTAGCAAAGATTAGCAAAGATCAATTTACTGTACCTCTTAGGATTAGTATAATGGCATTAATAATGCCTCCCATGAACATACACCAGGCTGCCTCTTGTGAGGCCTTTCTCAGGGTTGTCACACAGTCCCTTTTTGTCTGAATAAGTATTTCAGCTTTGCAGACAGATTTGGATACCTGGCAAAATATTTCATTCTCTCTTATCAATAAAAACCCCCCAGAGCGGCAATGTACCTACCAGCCAAAATGGGGATCTAGCCATTGATTATTTGGAGAAAATGTAAATTCTACTGACTATAAACACTGAATCTTAAGATTTTTCTTAATGGACTCTAAGATGAACCAGTGTCTCATTCTTCCACACCAGTCTCAGGTTGAGTGACAGGAAAATGCTTATAAATCCAAATACTGCTACAGGGCAAATTATGGGGAGAAAAGGACTAAAGAAAAGAAGAGAGGGAGGGAAGGAGAGAGGAAGAGGAAACAGGCACTGAGCAAGTCATGGTTTTCCCCACTGACTTAACTGTTTTCTAATCAGAACTGGATGAGGCTTCATAAGCAATCAGCCCCTCCACAGTCACCACCCGGCTGTAGCGGCACCTCCTCCCCCTTCTCCACAGATCGATTCTGGGTCCGGGAGACCCAAGAGGGTCCACTCCCCAAATATCCCAGCCCCACCCCCAAATCCAAACAGAAACTGCTCAGAAGAAAGGGAACCTCAATAAGAGTCAAGGGCAGCTTTCCTGCTCTTCCTTTTTGAAATAGAAATTTTAAAGTTCAATGACATGTGATTCTCCCTTGCAGATGTGCACTCTGAGCAGTGCCACATTTCTGGAGCCACTGTCATTTGCCATGTCTATAGATGACTATCTCTCAAAAGGAAAACAAGAAAGGGAGGGACTTCAAAACACCCGTTGAAAGGAGACCCTTGCCTCCACTAAAACAATATGCCTTGTTCTGGGTGTCCTCAACATTCTGGGACTTATGTGGCCAATATGTCAAATGACTTAGTCCCCCCAAGTACAGAAAGGAAGGCAAAGCCATCAGGGTGTTGCAAGAAGCACTGTCCTTGGAGCAGGTGGGGCTGAAGCTACATCTTCGAGAAAATATTGCTTTTCCTGTTCCCTTCCAGGTGTGGTGTGCTTTCAAGGGTTTTCAGCGTGTTGTGGGATTCATGTCACAGAAGAGCATTACAACTATTTAATGGAATGCCCAGAGTCACTTCTACTATATTGGTTAGGAAAACAAGGTAAAACAAGATTTGAAAGACGATGAAGGGAATTGAGCCACAATTCCTGTAAATATAACATGTATGTTTCCAGCCCTCTGGCCTGGCTTTTTTCAGGTCCAGTTTATTCTGGGTTCTCATGAGCACAGTATAAGACACAAACTGCCCTTGCCTTTGAAATAATAAACACCCCTAAAAAATCTGCATTTTCCCTAAAAGTGGACTAAAGTTGTTTTTTTCTTTAATTAGTTTCAATCAGTTAACTTAAAAAGTGGTATCTCACTAGACCAAAATGTTTTCAAGGGGGTGCTCAGCCTCTCCTGTGCTCTTTGACTCTTTTCCAGGGAAAGCAGGAAGGAGACTGGAGACACGGGTGCAAAATGAGTGCTTGAGTCTGGGTCTGTGCATTGGGCTGAAGGCAGATGGAGTGTGCAGCCCCTGGGCAGCGGCAGCGGCAGCCCAGACCTCGGGCCAGAATCACAAACATTCTCCCAGGCCCAGGTTGCCTCCCTGTGAAGCATCCTCGGACCTGGGTGAGCTGGTTTCAGCTCAGCTCTCTCGGCCTTGGCCTTGGAGGAGAGGCAGAAAAGCTCCCCTCTCTAGGATTCCTCCCGCAGGTACCCAGGGCACCCCGTCAGCATCGTGGCAGTTCGCTGGGCCCCCGAGTGCTCCAAACATGTGCATCAGACCAGGGTGGGGTCCCCTGACATCCAAGTGCCGGCCGCACCTTCCTCCCTTCTCCCACTTCCCCTTGTCACCAGCACCACCCTCTCTCTCCACCACCACTACCGTCACCTCCATTACTACCACCCCCAGAATGCCATCGCAGGCCACCTAAATTTGGGGTAAACTTGAGATGGTATCTTGGCCTCCTAGCTTTCCAAAGGAGCAGGCTAACCAGCCCCGCATCCTGAGAAACCTGGAGCAACACATGCCAAAGGGCACTGAAAGGAAAAAGGAGATGTGTTTGATTGTTCATTCAGGGTAGAGCTCAGCCCATCAAGGCCAGCCTGGCCTCCCTGAGTCAGTGACTACAGTTGGGGACACCACTAGAGTTCACCCACTCTTCCCCTCTCTCAAGCTGCCTACAGGCCACCTCGCTAAGGCTGTAGTTTCTGGGTTTGAGTTTCTGAGCCACATGAAGCCTTAGACCCCTGGACTATATAGTAGTTAACTGGTAATGATGCCGTCAGTGAGGACCGGTGTTAAGATGAGCATCTTTTATGATTTTCTTTTGTTGTCCATTTCTTTCATCACTTGCCATGCTATCTGGGGCCATGAAGCAATTCACTTATTTTCTGTTTCAACGAAAGAGCATGAGAAAGGCTTAAAGCGGTAAGGTCTGAAGCCTTCGAAACTGAGGCTACTGGCCTCTGATGGACAGCGCACCTCACTCTGCAACCCGGCCCTCCTCAGGAAGACTCTTCCTCCTTCCAACCCCCCAAACTCCCTCTGGGTCTGAAAGCAACCAACCAACTACCTCCCCCGAATTTTTATCTGTTCCCAGCCCCAGTTCAACCATCTTACTTTGTCTACCTGCTCCCAAGGCCTAAAAGTGTTTTTACAAACAGACTTTAAAAAAAAATGTATCAAGTGTCAGCGAGCTGAACTACCAGTATTTACACAATCAGGGTTCGCTTCTGGGTGAAAATGTAAACACAATTCCCAACCACACTACCTGAATTCTGTCCTTAAAGAACCAGGTCTTTAAAAAGACTCTCCTGTGCTCAAAACTGCAGAGCCACACTCGGGGGTGCAGAGCAGTAGGTTGCTATCTTGTTGTGAGCCCAACCGCCAGCCCTACGAGCTTACCGACAAGGCTGGCGTCCGCTACTCCCCGTCCGTGCGGGGTTCGCCGCCTTAAGGCGCTGCGCTGGGGGCGTCCAGGGATGCTAATCCCGTACCCAGAGGAAAACAGGGCCTGGCGGCAGGCAGCTCCCAGCCTGAGCCTTTGCCATCCTCCCTCCTACCGCCCAGCTGCGGCCAAGCTAAAATATACTTCTCAGCGCTGCTGCCCAGGGTCCCGGGTTAGGGCAGGCAGGGACGACCAGGGCAGTGGCCGCACCGGGTTGGGCGTCCGCGTCCACGCTGACCTTCCAGCCGGAACCACGCGTCGGCGGCGACCCGTCAGCGCGCGGGCAAGGAAAGGACAGTCCTAGGGAAGTCCTTCGCGGGAGGCTGTTTTTTGCGTCCTGGGGCCGGACTCTGCCTGCCTCCCAGGGCCGATGCCCAGTGTGGAGACATCGGTCTCCCTTGGGCCACCCTGGCCGCGCCCAGAGGCAAGTCCCAGGCTTCCTGGGCCGCTGGGCTTCTGCACACTCAGCCCTTAACTGCCCCCAATTTACAGCCCACAGGCTCCTGCTAACACCCTTTCCCCTCCGACTCCGCTGCCCGGCGGGGACCCTCGCGGCTGGGGCCCAGCCTCGGGCGAGGCCAGCCCGGTCCTGGACGCCCCCACCTCGCGCCTGCAGCCTCGGCCGGACGCTCGTGCCCCGCGGCCGCCGACTCACAAGTGCAGATCCATTTTCCGCGGTAATGCGTTCAAGATCACCGAGGCCAGCAGTCTAAACATCCACGAGCCGTCCTCCCGGCCCGCCTCTTAAACTGGCGTTTAATGGTTCCCCTCCGATAACTAAACCTGCTTTCCGCAGATGCCCGCTTTTATGGGGGAGGCAGGAATGCAGAGATATATTTATATGTTTGTTCATAAAAACTGGAAAATAAGCTCTGAACACGCTGTAAAAAATATTCAGTTACTTACCAAACAGGCTAGTTAAATCGGGGGAACACCGATACCGGCCACACCACAGATTCGGGGAATTGAGGTGCCCCCGCTTTGAAATCGCCCAAGGTCTCCGCCGGGGCTGGTGGCGTCCCTGCAGGAGGCGGGAACAAGAGCATTTACAGTCGGGCGGCCCGCGCGCCCGGGGGAGGCGGGGGCGGCTCTGCTCGTGAGCCCCAAAGGTTGCCACGATAATCTAGGCCACCACCAGCGGCTCCGACCCCGGTAACGTGGCCAGTAAACAGCCACAGACACGGGCGTTCGCAGCCCGTGCCCGGGTCCCAGCCGCGCGTCCCCAGCCGCGCCCGCCGCCCGCGCCGCGCCGCGGCCAGCCACAAACCCTCCGAAAAGCAGTATCTGCGTTGTATTTTTGTTTTCTTTCTTTTTTCTTTTTAACCAGAAAAGAAAGCAGAGTGATACTGTACCTGGTTTGAGACTCTTCAATATTTGAGCCTTGGGGGGAAAAATATTTTAATAGTGAAGCATCTGTTAAACACTTGCATTAACCTCTGGCTGATAAAAAGTTTTTTTAACCCTGCCCCCCCCTAGTTTTAATTATCTTATGGTTATGAGGAGGCAGCCAATCGTGGAAGAGGACCTCGGCAATTAGCAACGGGGACATCAAAAAGTTTTATTGCGGAGCGCGCGAGGCGCCGCCCCCGCCGCCCCGGGATTGGCGTGAGGGGCCTCTGACGACATATATTAACCCGAGCGGCCCTAAAGATGTAGCTGTACATGGAGATCTTGCTGGGAAAGTCCGCTGGCTCCCCTCACGTCACCCAGCCCGGGAGAACCGCCGCCGCCGCCCGGAGCCGCCTCGGCCACCGCGCAGACCCCGCCGAGAGCCCGAGCGGCCGCCCGCGAGCTCCACGGCGCGTTCAGGGCCCCAGACCCTCGCCCCGAAAGGAGAGGATCTGAGAAAATGGATGCACTGAGACCTCTCTGAAAAGCCCCCGAGACAGCCCGAGAGGAGCGAGGACACGTTACTCGCAGCTAAAATCACATTCCAGGACCAAAACAACAACAACAACCAACATTTCATTAAAACAATAAGCGCCCAAGAACCCAGATCGGGCTGGTGGGGGAGGGGAAGAGGCGGGAAGGGGAGGGTCGCACGGAGGTAGCTGTGCAGTGAGCAGGCGACCCCGCCGCCTCCCCGCAGAGCCGGGCCCGCCGCTCCAGCCGCGGCTCAGACTCGCGCCCGGATTCCGGCTTAGCTCCGGGGCCGGCCCGCGGCCCGGGCGAGGAGCCCGGCGACCCCGCGGAGCAGCGTCGCGGGAGCCCCGGCACCCTTGCATGAGCACGAGAGGATTCGGCCTCCGCGCCGCAGCTGAGGAAGCAGGAGCCGCAGCGCGGGCCGTGGAGCGCGGCGGGAGCCGGCGGCGGCGACCAGGGGCGCACGGTGCCGGGACCAGCTCGCTGGTCATGGGGAGCCGGCGGCCGCGGCGCTGCTGAGGCGGCGGCTGGCCAGGCGGGGCCGGGCCGGGCTGCAGCAGCCCCCTCTGCGGCTGCCGGGCGGGCCGGGCGCCCGGGGCTGGGGGTGGGGTGGGGGAGGCCGGCGAGCGCCGGAGCAGGGGCCCGGGCCGAGGGCGCGGCGGGGCTGCGCGCACGCTGGGGCGCGTGGAGGGGCGCGGAGGGCGACATGAGTCTGGTAGGGGGCTTTCCCCACCACCCGGTGGTGCACCATGAGGGCTACCCGTTCGCCGCCGCCGCCGCCGCCGCTGCCGCCGCCGCCGCCAGCCGCTGCAGCCACGAGGAGAACCCCTACTTCCACGGCTGGCTCATCGGCCACCCCGAGATGTCGCCCCCCGACTACAGCATGGCCCTGTCCTACAGCCCGGAGTATGCCAGCGGCGCTGCCGGGCTGGACCACTCCCATTACGGGGGGGTGCCGCCGGGCGCCGGGCCCCCGGGCCTGGGGGGGCCGCGCCCGGTGAAGCGCCGGGGCACCGCCAACCGCAAGGAGCGGCGCAGGACTCAGAGCATCAACAGCGCCTTCGCCGAGCTGCGCGAGTGCATCCCCAACGTGCCCGCCGACACCAAGCTCTCCAAGATCAAGACGCTGCGCCTGGCCACCAGCTACATCGCCTACCTCATGGACCTGCTGGCCAAGGACGACCAGAACGGCGAGGCGGAGGCCTTCAAGGCGGAGATCAAGAAGACAGACGTGAAGGAGGAGAAGCGGAAGAAGGAGCTGGTCAGTACCAGGGGGCGGCGGGCGGTGGGACTGCGGGCTGCAGGGCGCGGGGACGCCGGCCTCTTTCCAGCTGGGCTGGAAACGGCATCTCGAGTTCTTTGGCTGCGTCCCGCGCCCAGGCTGTTCGCACCGGGTGGCGGTAGGGATAGTTTCCTGCAAGAGCGGAGAGGCGGGGAGGGTGACAGCAGGAGGGGAGGTTCAGCGGGACGCTGGTGATCTCCCCTCGGGTTATCGTGTCCCGGGCACTTAGGATGAGGGGTCGGGCCGTGCTGCAGAGAGTCTGGGAGACCCGTCCTGTGTCCGCTGGAGCCGCCTTTTGGCCTCCAGTCCCGTTTTGCTTCCCCATATTTCCAAAACAACTCGCCCAGGAGCTCCCGCCCGGTTGTTTCACTATAGATCGCACCCCTCTCCCCAGCTCGAGGCCGCCCCTGACCCTGAGCCCCAAGAGAGCTCCGTGGCGGTTCTCACGCCCGTGTCCGGAGGACGCAGACAGAAACATGAAATACGTACTTGTAACTTCGAAATACAGTTCCGATTCCTCTTTGGCCACGACGTTAAAATGTAATTTCCCAGATGAGTGTACTCCATGGGTATTTCTACTTTTATTTGAAAGAGCCTGTACATTTTAAGACAAAAATATACATGTGAATATTACTCTGGCCATTGTTATTCACTATCACACGAGGTTCAAGCGCCCTGTAAGGTTTTCTCGGGTCCCTACCAAGCGCCCACAGGGCGGTGGTGTTCAGGACCGAGCTATCGCCACGCAGGGCCTAGAAAATAATTCCATTTGTCAAGTTTTTCTTCTCTGGGGCCCGCAACCCGTTGGTCGCTGCACAACCGAGGGACCTCCCGACTATCCAGAGGTTCCGAGGCCCTGGAGGAGGCGCGCTGCGGAGCCGGAGGCCGGGCCGCGGGCGGGGAGGCCAGGCCGGGGCGGAGGGGCCCCTTGTTTCCCAGCGAGTGTGTCTGGGATTGCCGTTGGAAACGCGGAAACCAGACTGCGCGCCGACCCCCTCTCCCGCGCTCCATCTGGAGCCAGAGAAAAGGCCGCCAGCTCCGCCATAAACCGGAGAGCGCGCGGTTGTTTATAAACTTGCGGATCCGGCAGTGGAGCCCGCGGCAGCCGGGAGGCCTGGGCGGCCGCGGGGGCAGCGCGGACGTGCACAGTTTCCCTGCAAGGGCTGGGCCTGGGGCCATCCTCCTTCCTCTCCTCCCTCCCCTGCCCGCCGTGCCCTCCGGCCCAGGGAGCCCTGGGGCGGCGTGGCGCGAGGTATCCTGTCTGAATTTCTCTTTCCGCTTCTCTCGCCCTCGCCTCCCCTCTGCCCAGAACGAAATCTTGAAAAGCACAGTGAGCAGCAACGACAAGAAGACCAAGGGGCGGACGGGCTGGCCGCAGCACGTCTGGGCCCTGGAGCTCAAGCAGTGAGGAGGAGGAGGAGGCGGCGGCGGGGAGCCGAGCGAGCCGGGCCCAGGCGCCAGCTGCAGACCCAGGACTCCGGGCAGGCCCTCCTCGCCCGGCTCCGAGGACTCCTTGCGTTTGGAATCATCCTGTTTATTTATGTGCAATTTCCTTCCCCTCTCCTTGACCCCCCCTTTGAGGCACCGCTCCCCACCTCCCCCCTCCAAAAAAAAAAAAGTGGATATTTGAAGAAAAGCATTCCATATTTTAATATGAAGAGGACGCTCCCGCGTGGTAAGGGACCCCGTCCGTCGTCTCGTAGCTTCTCGGTGTGAATGTCCCCTCGGCTGTGTAGACACCAGCGCTGCCCCCTACCCTCTTGCCCAGCCCCTCCCAGATAAAGACAGCGGACACTAGTGCCTTTGTGAAGTGTGTCTTTAATACTTGGCCTTTGGATATAAATATTCCTGGGGATTATAAAGTTTTATTTCGACGCGGAACGCAGGGCCGCCGGCGCTCCGGGCGGGCCGGTGTCTAGCGCTGCCCTGTCCCCTGTCCGAAGATGCTCTCCGCGACAGCCACGCGTTTCGTGCACTTCCGTCCTCTAAAACTAAGTGGGATTTAATTAACATGGAAGGTGTAAACGTTGTAAGTATTCAATAAACCACTGTGTTTGTTTTTTTTTTTTTTTTTACAAAACCCTGATCTTTTTAATGGTCGATACCTCAGAAAGTTTTGAAAACAAAGCTGTTCTACTTGTTTTCATGATATTTAAAGATATTCAGAAGTAAACTAAATTATCATGGCTGCCTCTAACTTTGTTTTGAAGAGTCAGTGGTGTTGGCGGATCCGCGGGCCCGCGCGGGGCGAGGACCTGTGCGGGGCAGCGTCCTTGGAGAAGAGGTTGCGCCGCAGGCCGGGCCTTCCTCCGTCCCCCTTCCGCCAGCTCCGAGGAGGACGCGGCCCTTGCAAGGAGGGCCTGGGCCGGAGAGCCGCCCGCAGCTCGCGCGCCGGGGGGAAAGGTGGCCTTGCTTTCCTGGGGCCCGCCAGACGCCCTGGGGTGCGGGCTTGGGGGGTAGTTTGGGGAGCGCGTTTTTTTACGGGGAGTGGAGATGTGACGAGGGTCCCAGGCGTTATTGCAGCCGCAGGAACTAGTCTGGGACGTTTAATTCAAAACACAGGGCTTCCATCCAAGAAAAAAAAGGGAAAGAAGAAAAAGAGAGGAGGCGATTCCTCCTGCAGTCGAGATAGGGGCTTCTCATCTGAGCAGGCTGGGGCGGGGGAGGCGGCTTTCGGGGAAAGTCCATGATTAGGTAACAAGGAACTTTACGTCAAGTAAGAAATCGCGAACAAGACCACGGATTTAAAGGGGGGCGAGGGGCGGGTTAGATTTACAAGGCGTTACGGGGAACTCGATGTTCCCTGTGCGGCGTCCGAAGTCGCCCCGGCCGCAGCCCAGCGGAGCGAGCGGCGCCCCCGCCACCAGCCTCCGGGGCTTCTCCCCGTTGGGGGTTTGGGCCTCCGCGAGGCCCCGCGCCTCCCTCCCGGGAGAGAAGGTCCCCGAGGCCTCCTTGCTGGAGGGCTTGGTGAGGCCCGCATATCTGCTCTGGTGGCAGAGGCGCTGCAGGGCCTGGCGCTGCAGGCTGGAGGCAGGGGGAGGAGGCTGCGTGCGAGGGCCGGGGGTGGGGGAGAAAGGTGAAACGTATTAAAAAGCGGTTTGTTTCATGGAACTCCGCGTATATAAATCTGGCGCTGGAGAGGCTCTGAGGGTTTCCACCGCCTGAGGGTTTCCATCTTGGAACCAACCCATCGCCGGGGCGAGGTTCGCACCCTGGCTGCGGGCGCGGCCCGTCCGGCGGTGTCCCCAGGGCGCGCGCCTCGCGCTGCCCACCCCGACCCGGCCGCGGGCAGCTGCGGGCACAGGCCGGGGGCGTGGGCGAATTCGCGAGCGGCGCGGGAGACACGGACTGCTGCCGGCCGCTGACAACGCGAGGGCGAGGGGTTAGAACAACTCGGCCAAAGTGATCTGAACTTTCTCCCCTCGGGTCAGCCGGCGCTGGGCCCAAGGCTGTGTTTACCGACACTTGCCTTTGTTTATAGCGCCGGGGGGTGGGGGGAGGCGCCCCGGCTCTCCGTGGCTTTCCCGGCCCCTGTCCATTTGACCGAGTGGCCCCCTCCCTTCTCTCTCCTGCCTCCAGCTGCCTTCTGCATCTTTATCTCTGTGCGCTCAGGAGAAAGACTTCAGGTTCTAGAGGCGAAGGAAGGAGTCTGACCAAAGTGTTGGAGTGAACGGTGGTGGAGGAGGTGAGGTTTTAAAGAACAGGAACCCAGGAACCAGAGACGAGTTATTGTCACCATGCGCATAGGCCTGTGCTGCCTCGGGTAGCTGGTCTTAGCCCCCGGGCCTTAACGCGCGTTTGCCGGTTTAACACTTTTTCTGGTTTATTAAACACCAACAGAAAGAAACTGAAAAGCACTGGCGCACCATCGCTAGAAGCAGCTTGCTAATACACATGCTTTTAAACTCGAGCTCCAAAAACCCTCCCTCTTTGTCTGGCCGGGGCCAGGCGCTGCCTGCCTCCTCTCCCTCCTGCTCCTCCTCGGGGCCAGCAGCACCAGGCCCAGACACCCCGCCGGCCTTGCCATTTCAACCCACCGGACCCCAAAGCGGCCGGCCGGACACCCGGCAGATAGGACACCCCCACCGGCAGAGTCCCCAGCTGCCCCACAGCCCAGGCGGCCAATCCCCTAACAGGATGCGCACCCCAAGTGGCCAGACACTTCAACCAGCAGGACACCCCAGATTATCCATGGCCCCAACCGCCCGGATATCCCAACCACCCAAAGCTCTCAGCCACCCAACATCTCTGCCCCACGCTGCCAGGTCTGGAGGAAGTGAGCGCCGTGCTGGGCAGGCATTTCTGACACGGCTTCCACGCTTTTCTCTTCTACACACTTCTTTCTCTTTTAACTCCTTTTCTTCTTTACTTAAAAAAAAAAAAGTTTCCACGTTTCTGCTTTCGGGACCGGCTAAAGGCCTGTTTTAATTGCTCGGATAATGTGGTTGCTGCCATTTTGTTAAGAGCAATCACTCCTGCAGCGAAATCACAAGCGTTCTAGACAGGCCGGAGCCGACAAAAATGTAGAATTTGACGTTAAAAGCTAAATGGGAAGCTGGGGCGGCGGAAGGTAAATTGATGGTGGATCTGGCTGTCAGGGCTCGGCCCCAGACCGCCGCGCAGGCCGAGCTCCTGATAACCCTGGAGCACCGGCGGGGCAAGGGCTAGCGTGTGTGTGTGGACCCATTCTCAGCTTGGGAAGGAATTTGGGAAACTGTAGGGTGGGGGCCCTGCTCCCAGTCACAATTTTCCAGGATTCTGCCCCCGCCCACGGGCATTGGCAGCAGCTTTAAGGGCTTTTTCAGGTCGACACCAAGATCACTTGCGGTCTTGCCTTCTAAATCCCCGGACCACCCTGGGGGAGGGGAGTTCGGTGGGATGCGCCAGCCTTGGGGTGGGTTGGCCAGCATACAGGGTGGCACCTGGAAAGGGTGGGCCTCGGGGCTGGGCTGCCCTTCCCAGGTGCGGGAGGACCAGGCGGCCTGTTTGCAGCAGTGGCGCCAGGGAGGGCAGCGCCTGGGCCCCTTGGGAAGCATGTGTGTGCAGTAGGAGACGGAGGGTGGCTAGGTTCCCTTCCCTCACCGCCACTGCTGGCCTGGCCGCTGTCCCCTGGCTGGCGAGGGTCGCGGAATGAGTCACCCACCCAGGTTATGAAGGAGAGAGAGAGTGTTAGACGGACACGGAATTCGCAGGAAGGGGTGCGAAGATGAGCGTGAGCTCAAATGCAAAGCCACAGGGAGCAGAAAGAGACCTGGGAGCTACTTCTGAGACTACAGCCCTGCAGAGAGAACCTGGGCGGGTTGTAAGGGCCTGGGGCGTGTGCGCAGGGGACAGGAAACGTGGCAATGCATGCCACGAAAGCCGCCGGGCCTGCGTTTGCACGACACGGACTACAAAGCGCGGGAAACCTAAAACTTTAACGAAACGCTCTGCGCCGGGCTCCTGGTTTCCTCCACCGCGGCCGCGCGGAGCTCTCCCTGCCTGTGAGTCCCACCCACGCGCCTGGATTTGCCCAAGAACTGTCCGGTGGGTGCCAAGCAGAGATGGTCTAGAAAGGGGTTGTGGCGTGGGCCGTGTTGATCCTGGGCGCTGCGCACTGCCTGTCTTTTCTGGACTTGCTGACCTGGGGGACCCATTCCCTCCAAAGGGCCCGGCTCCTACGGTCAAGATCTGGGCGCGAGGAGGGCGCGCTAATTAGGTCTCCCGGACGCACAGGATTCCTGGCTGGTCAGAGGCCGCGGGTCCCTTGGAGAGAAAACCCCGGGAGCCACCACCAGCCAGCCCAGGACCCAGGCTGGAAGCCCCAACAGCCCCCTCCCTGGCGTAGCTTCGCAGTGCAACCAATTGCTGCCGTAGGGATTCTGTTTACCGGGGATGGAGGTGGAGGAGGGGGCCGACACTTATTTTAACTGTTTAGGAAGAGGGGGAGGGGGACCACTCCGGGAGAGGAAGCCCATCCCGCGTTTCCGGGGGCCGGACAGTTGTGAGCGCGGCCTCGCCACCGGCCGGCGCGGCGCGTGCTTCCCGCACGGCCCCTGCGCGCCCAGGATTGATTAACCTGCGGCTGCCACGCGGCTTCGGCCCGTCGGGCCACGGAGGTGAAAGCGCGCCGGGTGTCAGACTTTGCATGCGCACGGAAGTCCTGTCCCTGTTCTCCCGGCCCTGCCCTGCCGCACTCGGCTCCCTTCGAGAAGCTCAGCCCTGCCTCTCCCCAAACGCGACCCCCCTGCACACACATTCCCTTCGGATTCTCCCGGCATTCGGGCCGCTTTGATGATCAGATGGTAGAGCCCTGATTACAAATTTATTCCCCGCCGCTCTGTCCGTCTTTATCTCCGCTATTAGGGACATCTGGGAGTGATTAGCGCCGCGCCCGCGCCCGGCCGCGCTCGCCTATCTCGCCGCCGCGGGGCCGGGCCTGGCTGACGTCAGCGCAGACGGCTCGGAGCCATCCCGGCCGAGCTGGGTGCAACCGGCGGCCGCGCGGCCAAGTCCTCCCCGCCCGCCGGCCGCTGGAACGCGCCGCCCGCCCGCGCACAGGGACCTTATAAATATGTATTTTTAGCCCAGAAGACTTTTTTGTTTTCCTTGTTTGGGGTGAGGAGGGGCCGGTTAACGTTTCTACAGCCCCCTCCCCACTCCAAGTTTTCCAGCTTGTGCGTTCCACCTGGAAAAGTCCCCAAACGGGCCGGGGCGGCGGGGACCCCGCTCTCCTACACCAACAGCTGTGGTCCCAGGCGGTGACGGTGCAAGCCGAGCCAGGGTGGACGGAGGTCGGGGGAGTGGGTGCGGGATGTGTGCTTGTTAGGACCAGGCTGTTCCTAGGGCAGCGCTCAGTGCTACCCGCCCCTCTCTGGCACCCACTTGGCCCCTACAGCCCTCGGGCCAAAACGGTGGGAGTTTCTGCCGAGCCGGGCGTCCCCCCAAAAGCTGGTGGCAGCACGCACTGTCTCCCCAGCTGCCGCCTTTGCACCTGCCGTTAAAGCCTAACGGATCTGGCGAGCCCAGGCGCTAGACCCTCTTCCGCCCCGCTCGCCCCCAGCACCTCCTCCCGCGGAAGTTG